CTACAGTTTTAAAATCTTTTAAATGGAAGACTACTGAGCTTCAACTACTTCTTTCTTTAATAATTATATGTCTTCAATATGTATAATTTCCATAATTAACCAGAGTTCTAATTCTAATTTGTGTGTGTGTGTGTGTGTGTGTGTGTGTGTGTGTGTGTGTGTGTGTTCTAGTACGTGGGCTTGAAAACAGGTCTCTAGCTCAAACTTTTCCACTCATAAGTGGAACTCTAATACTGGAACCACATCTCCCGACCAGCTTTTTTTTATTGGTAAACTGAAGATAAAAGTCTCTTGGATTTATCTGCCCTGGACAGTTCCAAACCATGATTCTCAGAAATCAGCCTCCTGAGTAGCTAGGGTTATAGGCATGAGCCACATAAGTCAGTCCCTTTAATTTTTAGAAAGCCCTTCCCCAGGCCTTGGCCAGCTCTGTTCATCTTTCTCCAGGTAGATCTAAAGTCATGTCCTCAAGTCATAGAAATGTTAATTTCCTAACTAAGAACATTTCTCAGTTGGCACTTATCTTTAGGAACTGTCTACATTGGTCCCCGGGCAGATAAAATCCTGTATCTGAATCTTAACTGTTGACTCAGCACTAGATGCGTAACTGTTTTCTTCCCTAATTTACAAACTCCACTGCAGTTTGTCACTTTAACATAGTGACCCTAAACTAAAAAAAAAAAAAAAAAAAAGCTCCAGATAAGGAAAGAATTTCTTTCTTGTCCACTGTATACTCAACACACAAACAGTAGCTGGCTAACAAACAGATTCTTGAGAATGGTTGATGTAAGTGAGCAAATGGTTTTCCATTTCTTTTGCTTTAAAGAGCAATTAACAAATGTCTTGAAGGATGTCACAGGCAAATGTCTACCAATGGAAGAGTTGAAACATATACTTTGTAAGGAATAAAGTAAGAACTACTTCTTCACAGGGAAGGAGACTGAGTCAAATAACTTATAACATTCTATTGAGCTCCTGGAATCTGTAACTTGATGGATGCTATAATTGGAGATTGGGTTAGCTACATAAAGGTGGATTTGATTCCCAAGACCCAGGCAGATCAAAGATGGTATGCTGTTTAAAACAAAGATAATAGCTTCTTTGGAACACGAATGCAAAAGTACTAACTCATTCACAATATAGACACAGGCCTAGGAGAGAAAAGTCCTTGCTAATCATCAGGTATGTGTACTTCAGGTCTTCTGTGGGGAGGGGAAACAACCAGCTGGGGATGGAGATTAAAACTGGAAAAAACAGTATCACATTGAGCTGAAGCTTTTGTTTCCCAAACGAGAAAACCTCTATGAAATATATTTGAATTTAGCCTTCAGATTTAAATGGTTGTAGCTGAATGTAACCACTTCAGAAGATAGAAAATACAGCATTTGGCTGGCTGGGATGCAGCTCAGTGGTAGAGGGTTCAATGTGGGAGAGCAGGGGGAATGGACAACAGCTCATGGGAAAAGACAAGATTAAAGGGATACCACCACCAAGATAAATAAATAAATAGCACTGACATAGAAGCATTTCTGCCCTTCAAATGTCGTTTGTTTACTTCAAATACAGTACCACACTAAGATATGTAAAGTTGAGGGCAAGTTATTCTTTCTTTTTTTCTTTTTTCTTTTTGCTGTTCCTAGGTCTTGAACTCCAAGCCTGAGCTCAAGGAATGGACTCTACCACTTGAGCCACAGCGCCACATGTGGCTTTTTTCACAGTAGTTTATTGGAGCTAAGAGGCTCCCAGAGACTTTTCTGCTGGGCTAGCTTTGAACCATGATCTTCAATATCTCAGCCTCCTCAGTAGCTAGGAGCTAGGATTACAGGCATGAGCTACCATTTCCCAGCTGAGGGCAAATTATTCTGATTGTATTTTTCTTCCATGTTGATAGAAAAGGTAGTCTGTAGGAAAAGGAGATATACCATCTTTCCTATACCATCTTTCCTATACCATCTTTTAAAAAAAATCAATTAAGTCTAAAGCATCACTAGGGCACTTCCATTCACATACAAATCAAGGGAGTGCTTCTTTCCCTCCCAAACCTTTTCTTTCCTGTGTTCAAATTACATTCTCAGGGGAATTGGAGAGGCAGAGTTCAAGCTTTAAGGCCACAGTTGTAGACTGGAGCCATTTTGGCACTGACTGGGGTTGTTTTGCAGAAGTAATTTAAGAGAGGAATCCAACCAGTAAAGCTCAGTGGTGGTTCAACAAGTCCTTGGATAAGTGATCACATTTTCTGTAGTATATGAAAAGACTTCTCAACTTTATAGTCAGCTCCTGATCACTATACAACTCAGGAAGAATCTAATGGTTTTAAATTTTAAGTCATTTGATCTTAATTCTAGTGACAACAGTGAACATGAAGGGGAAAAAAAAAACCTCTTTCGGACACATACTTCGAAAAATCTCTATTATCTTAATGAGAGAAGTCTTACACTATTCTGAGGGAGCTAAGCTCACATATGGACAGCAGACCTGGAGTTGGATACGATTATGATCACACAACTAAATCTTAAATCCACATATTGTTCCTATTTAACTGACACATATTAACTTACTAATTTATAGAGAATGTGCAGCAAATTATTTCTTCCACCTCCCCCAGCCCTCAAGAACGCACCCACAATAGGTGTTACAGAAAAAGGCACCCCTACACAGAACATTTGCATTCCCAGACAGTTTATCTAAAGCATACATTACTATTCTAGTTCTCTGACTCTTTGCCCTGATAATTACGGAGGGAAGGGAGAGATTTAACCAGATACGCTTGATCTCTATACGTGTCAGTTTCCTCACTAGAAAAATTAAAAGATTCTCTCAGAAACTACGCAAATTCCCTCGGTAAGAAGAGTCAAGGTTCAATAATTAACAAGAGCACAATTTGTGTGCAAGAGGAAACCAGAATTCTGTGAAGGAGAGGGTTTGGGGGGGGGTCTTGAATTCGGGGCGTGGTCGTTGTTAGGTTTTTAAAAAGAAGAACTGCACCACGCACGTGGTATTCAGGTAAGGGGTAGGTTTATTCAGTAGACCTGCTGGGACCAGGCAAGGTTGGCACTCCACGCGGCTGGCAAAAGAAAAGGGCGGTCTGGCCGCGGTTTAGGCCTTATATAGGGTAGGGGGCGGGGAAGGGTGTGTCCAGGTAAAGGGAAGTGGGATCAGGTGGGAGAAAGGTGTGGCCACATCAGGTTAAGATGTGACCTCAGCAGAAGCGGATGTGACCTCTTCCAGGTGTCCCAGTTGCCTAGGTAACGCAGATACTGGGCGAGGTCTGTTCGCCGCCCAGGAATGGACCTTACAGTCGTGCTTTTAAGTTTTTCTGCTCAAGGATGGTATTCCTACCACTTGAGCCACAGCTCTGCTTTTGGCATTTTGCAAGTTAACTGGTAACAAGAGTCTCACGGGGAGACTAGCTTTGAATTAGTTAGGCTTATAGGAATGAGCCTCAGCCCCCATACCCCACCCTTCACCCCCACAAAACCAGAATTCTCTCATTAAACAGTGGTTTAAGAGAAGCACAGCTGCACTTCGCTATGACCATTGTCCATTTTCTGGCCGTGGAAAAAAGTCTTTCAAACACTCAGGAAGCCAAGCACAAAAGCCAGGTAAGCCCTTGCAGACAAGGGTCCCCAGAACTTCCGAACTTCCAGCCGGGCTGCGCCTGCAAAGTGCAAAAGGTGAGCGAGCCTGGGCAGCGGTGAGGCGCGAAGAGGCCGTGGGTCTGAGGGCACAGCTTTTTGTAATCTGGAGTTTCAGAGGTTCCAGGATCTCTCTAAAACCTTTGTCTACCCCCCACAAAATCTCTCAGGCCACCACCACCTGCAGCAAAAAAGGAAAAAGAGGTGTGGGGTGGGGGTAGATAGGGTACCAGCCAAAGACCTCACCCCGAGGCACCCCCCAGAGCCCGAGAGGCAACTTTAAACATCACAAAGAAAGGGGGAAAGAAAAAGGACTCCGCCTGGCCAATCGGCTTGGCTTCTTTCAATTAAAGAAAAAAAAAGCAAAGGCTGCACCACCCTTCCCGTCTGCCTTTCACAGGGGATGTCCAGCCGCCGCGGAACCACATCCTCCAAGTCCCATGGCCCCCGGGCCGGCTCCAGAGCAGGCAACTGAGTCTAGCACTCCAAGAGGCGCGGTCCACCAACTCCGGGCCGTCACGTCCCCTCCCTCCCTCTCCCTTCCTTCTTTCCCTCCCTCCCGATCCAGGCCCGGGGGCTCCGGATTCTCCCGGCGCCCACCCCTCCCGCCCGCCCGCCCGCGCGCGCGCCCGCCTCCTCCGCCCGCCGCCTCTGGCCCTCCAGGCACCGAGCATTTCAGTACTTCCACCCACCCCGACAAGGGAGCCTTTTGAAAACTTTTGTGTGTCGATCTAGGGCTTTGTCCACATCCTGGGCAGGGCTGGGACACCCGGGTGGGAGCCTGCGGGTGTCCGGAATCTCACAATGCCCGGGGAAAGCCACCCCTGAAATCCCACCCACCCCACCCCCACCTCTGACCCGCTTTCGCCAACCCTACGAGACAGCGCTACGGCTCCCGGCCCCCCGAGCCCGATCGCCCCTGGGTGCGGGAGAGAGCTGGGAGGAAACCTCCCGCACCCCGCGCCTTTCCCGGGTGTCACGAGGGACACGGTGCGCGCGGGCAGACGGAGGCAATTGAGAAACGCCGCGGCTACAAGAACCCCAGCTAAAGCTAGGATGGAGAGGGGGCTTTTTTTTTTTCGTCCACACCCCGAGAATCGGGGCGGGACGAGACGATCCACGGTTGCATCAGGTAGGATCCGAGCCTCCCGGCTCCCCGACCTGCCCTCCGCCTCGGACTCGCGCCCAAATTCACGCACGCACACACACACACACACACACACACACACACAGAGCTCCAAGAGCCTTGGTCCAGAACCCCCGCCCGGATCCCCCGGATCTCCACCCGCCAACGCCCCCCAAAACAGAGACCAGCCAGCGCCCCCCCGGAGCAGCGCGCCAAGGAAGCGAGGCCCCTGCACTCACAGACGGTCTCCCCACCGCCACGGCCATCGCGGCTGCGGCTCTGGCTGCGCCCCGGTGCTCTCCGGCGACACTGGCTGCTGCTAGCGCCCAGGCTCCGGCTCGCCTCCCCCGCGCCTTCCCCGCGGCTGCGCTCTGCTTGCGCCCGCGCCCGGTTCCCGCTCGCGGCCAGCGGCATCTGCTTCCCCCACGCCGCCGCCCCTCCCGATTTATTCCAGCAACATGGCCACCGGCCTGGACTGAACCATTTGCTTCCGCGAGGAAGGGGTGTAAGCCGGCTCCGAGACCCTGGCCGATTGAGAAAATCCAGTGGGTGGTCTCCAAACCTGGGTCAGCTAGGTCTGATCACCTTTCCTAAATTGATTACCTCTATTCTAAGGTCACCTCTCCCATGCTTCTTGCATGCCCCTAAGCCTGTACCCTGCTGTCACCCCCTGCGCTACCAAGTGCTGGAGTCCAAGTAAAAGCCTGGGCGCGGAGGTCTCAGCCCCGAGTCCCGCCGCGCGCGCTCGGAGCCGTGGGCAGCTGGGTCAGCTGCGGGGCGGGGGAAGGGAGGCCGGGGGAAGACATGTGGCCGCTGTGTCTTGTCGCGGAAAGTCAGCCCTGGCTGTGCATGCCCCACCCGGAGGAACCGGCTTGGAAACGGATGCGGACTCTGGGAACGGCGGTGGGCGACTGAGGAGGGGTTGGGCGGGTCCCCACCAGGAAAGAGCTGCCCGCTGGCGGCGGTTCTGGGGCGTCGGAACCGGGTCTCCCGCCCCCCCGGGTGTATCTGGAGAGGTCACGCGTGGGGGCTCAGCCAATGTCGGTTTCGCTGGAGACAGACCCGGAGGCGGGAGCGGCGACGGCGGGTGGCGGGAGTGGGTGTGACTCCGGTCACCCCAGCGCCGCGGGGGAGGATTTCCTAGCAGATGTTGGGGCGCTGGTGCGTGTCTGGGTGGCGGACGGAAGGTCTCGGTTCCTGGGGCGTGCAGGGTTGTGCGTCGCCTGGACACCATTTGGACAGTTTTGTGTATCAGGTTCTGTGGATCTCCTCGGGCAGGAGAGGGGGACCCACGACTGAAGATGCTACCTGACAACTGGGGGGGGGGGGGCGCGGTAGGATGGGATCCAGCTGTATGAAAATCTGGGAAAGTGGAGGGGCACTGACAAGCTGGGACCTGCCCAGGGATTGCGCCCTGAGAAAACCAGGCCCAGGAAATTAGTGTTTGGACTGGGAGGACTCAGTCTGATCTGAGACTTTCAAACCCCAGGTTTCTAGGGGTCTTGAGTTTACCCCTTCTTCCGTCCCTGCCTCCTGCAGGCCGCAAGAGCCGCACACACCTGAAGCCTTTAGCTAAAGGTGAGTAGTCAGAGGTCGCTGGTTCTCGGCTGATGTGAAAGTTACTCTGGTTGGTGGGCGCGGAGGCCTCCTACACTGAATTCAGCTGTGAGGACAACCCCAGACGAGACTGGGGGAGAGAAAGAAAGATGAGGGACACTGACATAGACCCTAATACGGCCCATTTAGACCTGCACAACACTAATCTAATCAATTTGGATCAATTTCTGTCCTATAGACACCAAGTCTTTTAAAATTAGGGACTGCCATTTTATGCCACACATACAACAGTTGCTCAGTAAGTGTTGGATGAAGTTTACACGGGGATGGGTACTATGTAAAGAGAGGCGGAAGACAAATACTTTCATCAGCCTCTCTGCTAGATGGGTATTTCATTCTTTCTCCAAGTAGGGAATTACTTCCCAGATGAGAATGTTCTGGATGCTATGGAGGTCACAGGTAAGCCAGATGGAAAGAGGGCTCCACACACTGCCAACTAAGTGTAAGGGCAACCACACGGGGCTCTCCACTTTGTGTAACATTAGCTAGGCTGCAGAACTTGTTAGTGAGTGTTTGTGTTTTAAAGCATACTAATTATAAGAACATGAACTCCGGCCTTGGTGAGGAGGTCAGTTTATTCTAATCACAAAGCCATACACATATTCCAACATCTCATTTGTTTGAAGAAACCCATTAGGATGCAATCACTGAACTTTCACCCAAACTTGAATCTTATCACTGACTAGGAGAAATGCCTTAAATCCCTCACCCCCAGCCCCCCCTTTTTTTTTCCTGAGGAGGCCGGAGATAGAAAGCATAAACATTTAATTAAAATACAGTGTAATTAGTATTGGCCAAAGGTGGCTATTTCAGTATGTCAGCTCTCATTATGAAGTTGTTTAACATCATTCTAGGAGCCTGGGCCAGGTGGCATATGCCTTTAATCCCAGCACAGGGCTCAGGAGGCTGAAGCAGGAGGATCTCAAGTTATGTGCTGGATTTTAGGCATACATCACCCGAGCCAGTAAAAGTTAATATATATGACCTAGGATTTGTCAATGAATATGACATCAAAAGCACAATGAGAACAGAAAAAAAAAAAAACGTATCATCTAGCCGCAATATTTGAAACTTTGCTTCCTTCAGTAGACACTGTCAAGAAAATAAAATAAGAAAAATAGCCTGGCACCGGTGGCTCACATCTGTAAGCCTAGCTCCTCAGGAAGCTGAGATCTGAGGGTTGCTGTTCAAAGCCAGCCCAGACAGGAAACTCTTGAGACTCTTAACTCCAATTAACCACCAGACAACTGGAAGTGGTGCTCTGGCTCTTAGTGGTAGAGCATTAGCCTTAAGCTGAAGAGCTCAAGGGCAGCACCCAGGCCCAGAGTTCAAACCCTACAACTGACAAAAAAAGAAAAAAAAAGGCAGTAAAATGATAACCAACCTGGTAGGAGAAAATATTTCTCAATCATATTTGATAAAGGACTTGTACTTGAAATATAGGAAGAATTCTTACGAATTTAATAATGAAAAGATACTCCAATTAAAAGTCAAAAGGTTTGAAGAAACATTTCTTGAAGCTACTGCAAGTGACCATAAATATGTAAAAAGGCACTTCACAATGTTGGATGGAAATGCAAACCCAAACCACAATGAGGTAACACTACATTCATGAGAATGGCCATAATTTTAAAAGTCAGATAATAACCAGTGTTGGTGATATAAAGAAATCAAACCTCCTACCTAAGAATGTACAACAGTACAGCCACTTTGGGAAATGAAAACAGGTTCACATAAAACCTTACTAATAATACTTAGAACACTCATAATAGCCCATGTGTGGAAATGTCTACCAATTGACGAATAAATAAAATACATGTACAACTTATTCATTTATTAAAGAGTTAAGTACTGATGCCTGATGCATGAATGGGCCCTTTAAACATGCTTTGTGAAGGGAAACATCATAAGAGAACATTAACACTATAATATCACTTTTGTGACCAGTATTTACTAGAGACAGAAAGTAAATTGCTACTCAGAATTGAGGAGGAAGAGTTGTAACTTTTTGTTTGTTACTTTTGTGGTATTTTTCATACTAGGTTTGAACTCAGGGCCTTACACTTGCTAGGCAAGCAATCTACCACTTGAAACACTCCCTCTTTTTATTAATAGAGTCGTTAAAAGACCAGAGTTTTTTATGTAATATGATTCACTGTTTTTCCTTATATGAATGTGGTGTCTATATAAGGAGTTGATGCTAAATCTATGGTCTTCTAGTTTCATATTCTTTAGTTTTTTGTTGTTTGTGCTTTGTTTTTGTTTGTTGGCTGGCTGTTTTGAGAGAAGTTCTTGATATGTAGCACAGGCTAGCCTAGAACTCAGTCCTCCTGTCATCAGCTTCCCATATAGATTACAGAAATGTGCCATCATGCCTCTCTATGGTTTTGATTTCTTTTTTTTTTTGTCGGTCGTGGGGCTTGAACTCTGGGCCTGGGCGCTGTCCCTCAGCACTTTAGCTCAAGGCGAGCGCTCTACCACTTGAGCTACAGCGCCACTTTCAGTTTTCTGGTGGTTTATTGGAGATAGGAGTCTCACAGTCTCTCCTGCCCGGGCTGGCTTTGAACCGCGATCCTCAGATCTCAGCCTCCTGAGTAGCTAGGATTACAGGCGTGAGCCACCAGCGCCCGGCTGGTTTTGATTTCTGAATGTAGGTCTACCATTAACTTTTATTTATTTGAATTTTTGTGTTGTTGGTATTGTTCTTTGGGTTTTCTTGTCTTGTTTTGTTTTGTTGCTGGGCCTGGAGCTTGAACTCTGAGCTTGGGAACTGTCCCTGAGCTTTTGTACTCAAGGCTAGTGCTCTACCACTTTGAGCCACAGCTCTACTTCTGGATGGTGGTTAAATAGAGATAAGAGTATCATGAACTTTCCTGCCTGGTCTGGCTTCAAACTGTGATTCTCAGATTTCAGCCTCCAGAATAGCTAGGATTATAGACATTAGCCACCAGTGCCCAAATGGGTGTGTGTGGGGAGGGGGAGTTTGCAAATCCTAGGACTGGGACTCAGGGCTTGGGTGTTGTCCTTAAACTTTTTTGTTCAAGGCTAGTACTCTACCACTTAATCCATAGCTCTAGTTCTGGCTTTTTTGATACTTAATTGGAGATAAGAGTGACTTTCTTCCAGTCTGGTGCCAAACCAAGATCCTCTGATCTCAGCTACCTGAGTAACTAATATTATAGGCATGAACCATCAGCATCTGGCTTTAGTTGTTGCATATTGTGCGAGGTAAAGATTGAGGTTCATTTTGGGGCCTTTTTCAATTTTCCAACATCACTATGGACTGAATTCTCTTTATATGTTTATCAAAAATAAATTGAGAGCCAGGCATGAGTAGCTCAGGCCTGTAATCCTACCTACTCAGGAGGCTGAGATCAGAGGATCATGGTTCAAAGCCAGCCTAGGCAGGAAAGTTTGTGAGACTCTACCTCCAACAAACCACTTAGAAAAAGCCAGAAGTGGCTCTGTGGCTCAAGTGGTAAGAGTGCTAGCCTTAAGCACAAACAGGCTCAGGGACAGAGCCCAGGCCCCAAGTTCAAGTCCCAGAACCAACAAAAAAGAAAAAAGAAAAAAAAATGAGCTGAGCACAGATGGCTCACATCTGTAATTCTTGCTACTCAGAAGCCTGAGGGCTGAGGATCTCGGTTTTAAAGTTAGCCTGAGCAGGAAAGTTTGTGAGACTCATCTCCAAATAAACACTAAAAACACCAGAGTAGAGTACAGCTCAAGTGGTAGAATGCTAGCCTTGAGCCCAAAAGCTCAGTGACAGCAACCAACCCCTGAGTTCAAAGCCCAATACCAGCATACACACACAAA